GTGGGAAAAAATCATAGTGAAGGAAAAAAAGTACATCATTCTTGTATTAATGCGCTCCCCCTGTTTTGGACTTTATTTGATGTCTTTCATCCGACGCATTCCAATTCCTTGCACCAGTTTGTTGAATGTTGCAGTCGGTAGCGCCTTCGTAAATAAATCTACAAAATTTTCAGACGATCGAATTTTTTCCACATTAATTTCACCACTTTTCTGAAGATCGTGAGTGAAAAAGAATTTCGGAGATATATGCTTTGTCCGATCGCTTTTAATATATCCTCTCTTTAATTGAGCTATACAAGCTGCATTATCTTCAAATAATATTGTAGGAGGTAATATATCATCGGTAATCAAGCCACAATTCTTCTGAATATGGTGAGTCATGGACCTCAACCAAACGCATTCACGACTGGCTTCGTAAATCGCTAAAACCTCAGCATGGTTTGAAGAAGTAGTTGTTATCGTCTGTTTAGCAGATCTCCAAGAGATCGCGGTTCCACCACAAGTAAATAAATAGCCAGTTTGAGATTTTTCTTTGTACGGATCAGACAAATAACCAGCATCAGCATAACCAGTTAATTCATTTCAAGATTCACTCGAATAAAATAATCCGAGGTCATGAGTCCCCTGAAGATAACGGAAAATGTGTTTGATACAATTCCAATGGCGTTTTGTGGGGGATGCGCTAAACTTGGCCAGTAGATTTACTGAAAAAGATATATCTGCCCTGGTACAATTTGCAAGGTACATTAATGCGCCAATAGCGCTGAGATATGGTACCTTGGGGCTAAGTATTTCTTCCATTTCTTCTCTTGGCCTAAATGGATCTTTACTGGGATTAAGGGATCCGACCACCATTGGTGTACTCAGAGAGTGAGATTTATCTATGTAAAATTGCTTTAATACCTTCTGGGTATATGTGGATTGATGGATAAATATTCTGTTGTTCACATGATCCACTTGTAATCCCAGACAATATTTTGTCTTTCCAAAATCTTTAATCTCAAATTCTTTATCCAGATATTCAAATGCAATTTGGATCTCTTCTGAAGTTCCAATTAAATTGAGATCATCAACATATATAACAATAATGACAAAATTTGATCTATTTTTCTTTATAAAGACGCATGGGCATATTGGATCATTAGTATAACCTTCTTTTATTAAACATTCGCTCAGACGGTTATACCACATTCGCCATGATTGTTTAAGTCCATACAATGACTTTTTCAATTTGATGGAATATAATTCCCTTGGGTTTAATTTGTATGCTTCAGGCATATTGAATCCCTCAGGGACTTTCATATAAATATCAGTATCCAAAGAGCCATAAAGATATGCAGTAACTACGTCTAAAAGACGCATGTCGAGCTTTTATTGCACTGCTAGGCTCACAAGGTATCTAAATGTTATTCCATCGACAACCGGAGAGTATGTTTCATCAAAATCTACACCAGGTCTTTGTGAGAATCCCTGAGCTACAAGACGGGCTTTATATCTCACAATTTCATTATGCTCATTTCTTTTTCGTACAAATACCCATTTGTATCCAACTAGTTTTATACCATCTGGTGTTTAAACAATTGGTCCGAAGACCTCTCTTTTATTTAATGAGTCAAGCTCTGATTGAATCGCATGTTCCCATTTAGGCCAGACATTTCTTTGCCGACATTCATGAACCGATTTTGGCTCTGGATCCTCGTTTTCTTCCATTATATCAAGTGCTAAACTATATGTGAAGGCATTATCAATAATTGCCTCTTTACGGTTCCAACATTTTCTTGAAGTAACATAGTTAATTGAGTTTTCAATAATCTCATCCTGTTCTTCAAGATCGTGCTTTTCTTGAGCAATTATTTCAGGGTTGACTTCCTCGTTAGATTGAGATTTATCAATGTCATTCCTGATATTTTCATGATTATTATCATTAATTCCTCTTTTCTTTCGAGGATGTTTGTCTTTGGAACCGAGTGGTCTACCACGCTTTAAGCGTGTCGCTGATTCATTAGCACTTGTAATTTGTCCATCAGGGACAATTATTTTAGCTGGAGCATTAGCAGCTTGGATATATGATCGAGTGACTTTGCTCGAGTCATTGAATGCATCCGGTAACTGATTTGCAATATTTTGCAAATGTATAATGCGTTGAACTTCTAGTTCACACTGCTTTGTACTAGGATCATAAAAATTCAATGGGATTTTCCAATTAATATCCCTTTTCGGTTCGTTTTTGTCTCCTCCTAATGTCGGAAAATATGATTCGTCAAAATGAGAATCTGCAAATCTTGCAGTGAATAAATCACCCATCATAGGCTCAAGATATTTTATAATTGACGGCGATTCATATCCGATATAAATGCCCAATCTACGTTGAGGACCCATTTTTGTACGTTTGGGGGGTGGAATAGGAACATAAACAGCACACCCAAAAATACGTAGATGAGATATATTTGGTTCGTGACCAAATACTAACAGCATTGGGGAATAGCTATGATAGCTTGTCGGCCTCATTCTTATAAGTGTTCCTGCATGTAAGATTGCATGCCCCCAAGTTGAAACGGGCAACATAGACCTCATCAGTAATGGTCTAGAAATCAATTGCAATCTTTTAATAAGTGATTCTGCCAGGCCATTTTGTGTATGAACATGAGCAACTTGGTGCTCTACATTAATTCCAATTGACATGCAATAATCATCAAATGCATTCGATGTATATTCACCAGCATTATCCAGACGTATAGTCTTAATTGGATTATCGGGGAATTGTGCCCGTAATTTAATGATTTGGGCAAGCAATCTCGCAAATGCCACATTGCGAGTAGATAATAAACAGACATGTGACCATCTGGTAGATGCATCAATAAGCACCATAAAATATTTAAATGGCCCACACGGTGGGTCTATTGGTCCATATATATCCCCGTGTATTCTTTCCAAAAATGTAGGTGATTCAATACCTACTTTAGCTGACGATGGCCTGGTTATCAATTTTCCCTGAGTGCAGGCAACACATGTTAACTCATTTGAGTTTTAACATTTTTTGACCTTTTAATGAATGGCCATGCGAATTCTCAATTATTCGCCTCATCATTATACTGCCAAGATGCCCAAGGCGATCATGCCATATTTGAAAATCGGTAGTCCTTTGATCTACCGTGAGGTGTGTTTCAACAACACCTAATCTGGCATAATATAAGCCAGCAGAGAGTGATGGTAATCTCTCAATGATGCATTTCCTTTTATCAATGATATTGGTGATCAATAAAAATTCACCATCGGTATCACTCATAGTTTCAATGTGATAACCATTTTTCCGATATCCTGAAAGCTCAGTAAATTTCTTCGAGCTTTAGTGTCCAACAGTGCATACTGTATCACAATTTTCGTCCCAGCGGGGAGAAATATAATGGCTTCTCCAGAGCCTTCAATTAATTTCGTACTGTCACTTATTGTATTGACATTCATTCTTTCCCTTTTCAAATGGGAGAAATATTTTTCGTGTTTCAATATAGTATGTGTCGTTGCACTGTCAATGAAACACATATTTGCATCATTTTGTTTGGCATCCATTTAACCTTCAAATATAAATAATGCAGTATTAATAAAGGCATATATAAGTATTACAAAATGCATTACAAAAAGGTAATATGCGATAATTTAAATATTACAAAACATAATGTAAAATGACATAATATGTCTATCACTAGGGGTTTGCTGGATCTACGACAAAATCCGCTATATCAAGATGCGTTGTGTCGTAATCCAAAAGATCATCATCGGGGTCGTTATCATTATCAACGTGATTAGTCTCGACCTCCTTCCCCTTTTTTCTGCAGTGAGGCTTGATAAAGATCGGCTAGGTGTTTGGCTTTTCTGCAGGTATTGGCCCAATGGCCTTCAATGCCACACCGATTACAACTGCCGATTTGCCTATTTCCCTGTTTAGCCTTTTCGGCTATATCCCCATGTTGAGGTTTACTCTGCATCCTGTTAATGTCAAAACTGCGGCGATTGTAAGGGGTATATCGACCGCGTTGACTCTCACGGCCGCGACCACGTCCACGGCCTCTACCACGTCCTCGGCCTCGTTCAGAAAATATCACGTTCGCTTCAGGGAACGGACTGGAACCAGTGGGCCGGGACTGATGATTTTTCATCAGTAACTCATTATTTTGCTCAGCTAATAAAAGGCATGCAATGAGCTGTGAGTACTTTTAAAAATTTTTCTCGCGATATTGTTGTTGCAGCACAACATTAGAAGCATGAAAGGTAAAGAGAGTCTTCTCCAATTTATCATTCTCAGTAACATTTTCTCCGCAGAGTTTTAACTGAGATGTAATTTGATGGATAACAGAGTTATAATCTGTAACAGTTTTAAAATCCTGCAATCGCAGGTTAAGCCAATCATGTCGGGCTTTGGAAAGAGTGATATATTTCAAGTGCCCAAATCTCTCCCTCAATTCATTCCACAAATCAAGTGGATCTTTCACCGTCAAATATTCAAACTGTAGAGGAATGTCTAAATGATGACGGATGAAAATAATAGCCTTAGCCCGATCTTGGCTTGTAGCCGTATTTTCACTGGCAATTGTATGAACAAGGCCCATAGAAACCAGATGCATTTCTACATCCAGGGACCAAGTCAGAAAATTATTGTCGGTGATAGACAAAGGTTTAAAAGAAAATTTTGCAAGGTTTTTCATAGTTTAGAAAATAAATAATATATATAGTATAAAAATAAAACTTACCAAAAATAAAATAGGTAAGAGCCTTCGTGCTGATAACGTTTTATATAATAATAATAATAATATAATATAATTATTGGATAAGTATTAAATGTATATATATATTTATTTGTGTGTGTACGGATGTATGTTTATATGTATATATAAATATATGTGTAAGAGTAGTAATTATATTATATTGAATGTATTAGAAAGCAAACAATTAATGCAGAGGGGGAGGGGACAATTAATGCAGAGAGAGAGAGGCAAGGGAAATGATTGTAAATTATATTTTCATTGCCTAGAGCACACACATATTTATAGATGCGTGAGTCAGTAAATGAATGATCGTAAAGCATCCACGTTCTGTCAACGTAAGTGCTGCGTGGTTTATAACACTCACAACCTTAAACCCAAATCTTCCGAAAATGGCCTGTTATTTACCCGAAATCATCGTCGCCAACATCCTCCACCGCCTGCCGGCCAAGACCCTACTCCGCTGCACCGCCGTCAGTAAACACTGGTATTCCCTAATCACAAGCCCTCAATTCATCTCCTCGCATTTGAATTTCTCCGCCGCGAGGGAGGATCGCGCTGTCCTGCTCCGTCGTTGCGTCCACAATTCCGAGCGCTACGACCTCTACAAGGAAGACCATTCTTTCGCCAGCCTCCGCAGTTTGGAATTCCCCTTCTGGAGCATAAATTCGTGCTTCACAATTGTCGGCAGCTGCAATGGCCTGCTCTGCCTGTCCGACGATAGGGTTTATCTCACAAGCACAATTATTCTGTGGAACCCTTGCATCCGGAGATCAATTCGCCTCCCGAACCCTAATTTGGTTTCCAATTCATTTGGCACATTCATCCAATGCCTCGGATTCGGGTTCGATTCGGTCTCCAGCGATTATAAGGTGATTAGGATAACTTATACATATTGTTTCATTGGCGAGTATCCTCGGGTGGAGCTTTACAGGTTGAGCGGAGGTGTGTGGGAAGAATCTAGTTGATTCTTTAAAAATAATAAATGGAGGGGATGGCGATGAGAATATACTAAACAAGTTCTATGGTTGTTCAACTTATGCCCGAGTCAGTTAATACATCAAAAATAAGATAGGCTAAGTACTTACATTAAACAAAAGTATTCTCTAAAATTTACAATAAACAAAAAGTATGCCCAATTAATTTAAGAACCAACTTCAATTCGTAACATACTCCGAATGTGATTTGCATATTCTGCTTCTCCATGTTCGGTGAGCCATGAAATACACTGCTTTACTAATTCTTGAGATACTTGGAGATTGTTAGGTAGGGCATCTCGTCGCTGTAGTGCTTTCTTGCTCATATGTGGAATCCGATATGCATTGTGTCCTTTTATCCTCATAATCTCTAGCATGCACCCTGTAGACTTAGGAAAACATAGTTAAAGGTTTCAGCTGATAGTTGATCATATAAACGTCTAACTGCATCCACCAATTGGTCAACTGTGGTGCTTGCCGATTCAATTTGAATGCTTTGAATTGCCCTAAACCATCCAAGATCATTAACATTTAAATCGGGAGAATTGGGGGGCTGGTGCATGAGAACAATATTGAATCTATCGCTGCTTGCAGCAGCACGAAAATCTAGATCGTTGTTCTTAATGTGTGGCTTTGCATTGTCTTGTTGGATGAATATTGTTTTGTTTGCATTGGGAGGCCACTTCTGTTTGATTGCTGGGATAATCTAAAATTTTCGTATGTACAAATGTTAGCATACAATAATTATGAATGAAAACAACTAAAAAAATGCATACCTGATTGATTATACATTCTTTGATGACATCCTTTGTGATTGATTCAATTGATTTAGTTTCTAGTGTGTCGGCTGGCCAGTTCTTGCTGGCTCTCTGAGCTGGAACTTGTCGTGTGAATGGGAATATTCCAATTTTTCCATCAAATAAAACCTTTCGGTCTGGGCTGAACACTGGCCGACAGCACACATGAACATGATTTTCGTGATTAACTTTTTGTTCTTGCATGCTCTATGTGGCACGGCTTCACCTGGAATCAAATAAAAACGCCTAGTCTCTCTTGTCAAGTAAAACAACTTTTGGTCAATATGGATTGTGTTATCCATACATCGAAAAGCCAATTCTTGTTGGATAGTATCGTAAACTAGATTATTCAATGCAAACCATTAATAATAAAGTATTTATTATTAAGTAATAAGTTGGAAATGACCGAATGGATGGTACGCTGAATTTATAAAATTCAGCATTACTTAAGTAACACCATTAATTACTAAAGTATTTATCTGACTAACATGATTAAATTTAAAATTAAAAGTAGGGATTGAATGTTGAATGCATTTGCAAGTCAGCATATGATTTTATCCTTTAATTGATAATTTTGGCTCTATATGTCCAATAATATTGTTTACCTAATTTTTAATATATTATTCTCTTATAAAAATTAATATTTAAAATAAAATATTATTTTTATATTACTGATTCTTTATACTTCACATCAAAAGTTTATATATAATATCTTCGTCCAATTTGAAAATATACATTTACTTTTGGCGCGAAGTTTAAAAAATAATAGTACTTATTCTGTATGGAAGAAGAATACCATTTTTTTAGATTTAATATAATTATAAAAAATAAATTTATAAATATATTAATTTTATATTAAAAAAATAAAAGTGTATTTCAATTGTTTAGTTTGTATAGTGTAAATATGAGGTAACAGTAAAATTTTTGAGAAAAATCTAACTAAATATTAAAAAAATAATTTATATTTTAAATAATTACAAGAATAATTTGTTACGTACTTCCTCCGTTCCGGTCCAAAGGGGTTTTTGAAGTTTTGTAGTAAAATAAAAAATAATAGTATTTTATTAGTTAGTAGAGTTGTGTAAGAGGTTTTGACATTTTTGTCTTTGATTTTTTGTGAAAAGTAATTGTATATTTGTAATTTAGGTAAAATTTTAAGAGTATATTGGTGTTGATCTATGATTACTTTTATGAAAAAAATACTACTTTGAGTTGGAACGGCGGAAGTATAATTTAAATTTAATTTTTTTAGTTTTTGGTATTGTTAAAAATACTTATGCCAATAATTTGTCCAAATACAAAAATTATTTTCGTTAAAATTAATTTATATCTATTTCATTATAAATATTAAATAAACAAAAATATATCACCCTATTGCAACTATCATATCAATTAATTCAAAATAATTAACTTTTTAATATATATTTTTTTAATAACATTACAAAAAAAATTACATAATTCAATGAGACAAATGAAGTACATTTTAAAATCATATTGTTAACATAATTTATTAGATGTTTTAAAACTAATTTTAAGTCTAATCTACTACTTTGAAACTTATTTTCAAATTATTATTATTATTATTATCATTATTTATAATCTATATTCAAAAGCTTAATAATTTTTTTATTTGCATATAATTATATATTTTTTAAAATATAACATATAGAAATGTTATAAACAATATTTAAGAATAAAAAAAAAATCAATATTATACAACTTTATGATCGATTTATATATGTATTTTGATTTTTAAATTGAATAATTGTTAAATACAATATTTTTTAAAAAAAAAAATCTAAGAATATGTTTCAGAGGTAAATTTTTTTTAAAAAAAATTGAAATTAGCTTCCGTACAAAAATTTATTGTTATTCAATTACTTTAAGAATTTTCAAGATTATTTTAAAATAGTCTAGACTCTTTCCAAGCAAAAACAAGAAGCCTCCAAATTTTCGAAGCCAAATTTGAATATGCCCAAAGTTAGGTGTACAATCCAAATAGTATCAAAATTTTCGAAGCAATTTCGAAAATATTTATAAAAAGTAATCCAAAATTAGATCGCTCAGAAATTTTTTCACTTAAAAATTTTTTCATGACAGTTATGAGATTTTTAATATAAATTTATCCTCTTAATCTTCAACAAAAGTGACAACGTTCGTCACATTCTATAAAATTAAAAATAAAAATAAAAAATAGCCTACTTTGTAAATGAAATCAAAATAATTCTATTTATCAAATTTTTTTCTTCAAAATTTTGATTTGAATTTAATTTAATTTTCAAAACATTTCATCTAACACATATCAATATAGGATTACCTCTGTCTCATAAGAAGAATATTATTTTGTTTGAGTCTTGCGTCATTATATTTAATATTAAAAATATTATTATATTTGTATAATTTACTCTACAAATTATTATATTTAAATATAATCGTATTTGTATTATAACAGGATTAATAGAAACATTTTTGTATTTTTTTAGATTTATACTACGTACTTCCTCCGTCCCATAACAAAGTATCAATTTTTTCATTTTAGTTCGTCCCATAACAAAGTATCCATTTTCTTTTTTAATAATTATACTATCTACCTAACATTACCCTTACAACTTACAAATTATTACACAAATATCATTACATTTATATTACACGTACTAATAAGATTATTTTAGTTATTTCTACTTTATTCCTACTATATCCCAATATAGTACTAATATTTCTAAAACTAAGTGCAAAAAGCAAATAAATAATTACTTATGGGACGAAGGGAGTATTAATATTATACTCCCTCCATCCACACATAAAATATACAATTACTTTTGACACGGTGTTTAAGAAATACTAATATTTTAATTATAGTGGGTAGTTAAAAGTAGTATAATGATATTTTTGCCCTTGCCTTTTGATGTAAAATTAATGATGTGATGTAAGTAAGGGTATTTGTAGAAAAAAATGAAGTATTTAATGAAATATTTACTTTGCAATTGGACCTCCCAAAATAGAAATATGTATATTTTATAACTGGACTAAGAAATTAATTAATATTCAAATATCAACATCAAAAAAATTTATGATACTCTTCTTATAGAACGAAATATATTATTATTAACTTATTAAATAATATCAATACCTAGTTATATCATATTATTTAACTATTTTAATTTAAATTTTAAAAAAATTTCAGAGATAAGTCTCAACCTCTAAACAACCACACCTTATTCAAAAAAAATCTTTGTATGTTACTTTCCAAGGAAAGTGGTAAGATTTGTCAAATATGAACACGTGGTGCTGTCGGTGTCACACTGAAGTAGATGACGTAAGGCATGACGAATTTGGGACATACTGGACAACAATTGTTTCAAAGTCATTATTAAATACTTCTTCGGTTATCTCACAAAGTATATAATTATTTTTGGCACGATATTTAAAAAATAATAATATTTTAATTATAATAAATAGTTAAAAGTAATGTAATAATATTTTTGTCATTGTTTTTTGATGTAAAAGTAATGATGTAATATAAAATAAAGATATTTGTGAAAAAAATAAAGTATTTAATGAAATTGAACGTCAAAAAATAAAAATATATATATGGGTGTGTTTGTTTGAAGGATTTTGGAGGATTTCCACTATTCATCCAATTTTTTCCCCCCAAAAACATCAAATCAAACACCTATTTTTCATTTTTTATATTATACTAAAAATCAATTTTACATTCAAAACATCGCATCAAACCCTATTTATATCACATCATACAACTATTCAAATTCAAAATTTTTACTATTCAAATCCCAATCCAAAATCCAAACCCCCAAACAAACACACCCATACTTTCTAAGTTGACCAATTGAAGCTACAGGTGCAACCGTGCAATGCTATGGATCTTCTAAATAATTCAGAAAGTGAACATTACTATGCCAAAACGACACAATTCACATTATTATCCCCTTCACTAGACAGGATAGAGATTAACCAGCTGCAGACAAGACAAATAAAGCCATCAAAAGTGGGGAGTGAATTTATGACCGTGGGGTCATGGGTTCAAACCTCGACGCCTCCAGGTCCATTTGTCACATATGGTTCGCCTAGTGTGACTTGTTTTATCAGACCTAATTTGCAGGGTATTAAGTTCGGTCGAAAGTTTACCCAGAACGCAACAGCTGCAGATCACATATGAGCCATTGAAAAAGAAAAATCAGGCCATTGAACTATGCTCATTAGTACACATGCTCTCGAATATGACACAATTCATCCATTATGTACCAAAATATCTCCATAGTTAAAAAATAATAATAATAAAAGTCTATTTTTATAATGAGAAAAAATCATTTTTTTTCTAATTCAATATCATAATTATCAATTTTAGTCTCATTCAAAATTTTTTATCAATTTGGTCCTACTCAAATAAAAATTTATCAATTTTAGTCCCAAAATGGTTGATTGGGATTGAACACGGCCACGTTGGTTTGAACAACTGTCACTACAAAAAAATAATATATTTGTAACGAAATTTCGTCGCTAAAGTTCACGTAGCCAACGTAATTCTATTCCTATTTCCGTCTCTAATGTCATTAGTAACGGAAAAAATAAATTTAAAGACAAAAAAATTTTGTTACAAAAATAATTTTTTCTCGTAGTGTGTTGGATGACTCAGAAGATGACTAGACGTCTCAGGTAGCCAACACGGCCGTTCTGATTACCCTGCATTTTTTAACATGGCCGTTCTTACCCGAAAAAAATGTGGCTCGAGAAGCTATATATCAATATCTCTCTACGGTTATTAGTCGGTTGAAGGGGAAGGTTATAAAAAAACACCAGTGTTAGTCGCATGTGGGTTTTGAGGATATATAGGTTTTATCCTTCTTTTTAATTTAATCTAATTTCAATTATATTTTTTTACAATTAATAAAGTGAATTTTATTAGCTACGAATATGAAAGTGAAACAAATTCATTATTAGGTTTGTCTAGTATGATTTGCATGATCGGTATAGTTTGTATATTATTATATTTGATCGGAGATTTATCCATAATGCAATCGAATAACGATTGCGGATTCTCACTTAGTAAAAAATAAATAAAAAATACTACATTATTATGTTCTTAGTAATGCTTAATTATTACCGAAATTAAAGGGTAAAAAAAAAAAAAAAAAAGTAAATATTCAAATGGTTTGACCTATTCTTACCACAACCAAATTCGTAATTAATATTCTTGTCGGTCAAATTATATTACTATTTTTTTTTGTTTTTCTGTTAAACTTATGCTAATTTATTTATTGTAAATAATTTTATTATTTTTATTTTGATAAATAATAACTAATTGGTCACTATATTTTTTTATCTATCTCACCATCTTTTATTAATCTTTCAATAATTTTTTTATAATACATAGTACAATTTATTTTTTATCTACTCTACTTCATTATTAAAATATTATTCTTTTGAATATTTGTGTCTAACCCGGTCTACATAATTTTAACTCAGAGAGGGTGACATTTGTTACGATACTTTTGTTGTGATTACTTTGTAACTACGAAAGATCATTTTTATTATAGTGGGTCCGAACACCGTTCAGACAACCAAAACATAATAACACACAACTCATAGAACATAAAACCAAATAGAACACATGATTTGTTCACAGTTCAGCTCAACCGTGACCTACCTTTAGGATACTAATCCAGAATTTATTCACTATCCATAAGACACAATGATCAAGCCTTGATCTTCTCCAGCATTATGTGCGCACCGTGTTGAGGCTGAAGTACAAATGCTGACATAGGAGCATGTGTATATGACGGAGAAAGACTGAAACTGTAACGCTGTAATATCATAGTTATGGCCAGTTTAGCTTCTACCGTGGAAAAGTTTTGTCCCAAGCAAATCCGAGGTCCGCTTCCGAATGGCAGATATACCAGCCGGCCTTGCGTAGCATGAGAAACTCCCTTGCTAAACCTCGAGGGGTTGAATTCCATTGCGTCGTCACCCCATATTTTCTTGTCATGATGCAACAAAATGATCGGCATTTGAAGTCTCACCCCGGCCGGTAGACTTAAGTCCCCTAATTTACACTCTTCCGTAGTCATCCGAGTGAGATTGATTACCGGTGGATATAACCTCAAGGTCTCATGTAATATCATCGTTACCTGTATAAATCAAATTAAAATATGAAAAATTACTTCGAACTTATATAGATGCATCACCGGAGAACATTATAAGACAAGCACTAGAAACATGACTTACAATTTTGAGGTGACTTAACTCTTGATAATCGGGTGTTCTTTTTCCAAATAGTTGTAGAACCTCTTCTCTTGCACGAGACTGCCAATCGGTGTGCTTTCCCAATAGAATCATAGTCCAAACGAGCAGTATCGATGTAGTCTCATTCCCAGCAAGGTAAAAATCCTTGCACTCATCAATAATCTCTTCCATGCTCAATCCACACTTATTTCCTCCTATTTCAATTTCCTTGATGTTCGATTCCAGTAGCAAACCCAAAAAATCGTCACCGCAACTCCCACCAGCTTTTAGTAATTTCATTCTTTTGTCGATGATGCTCATCACGGTTGACTCTATTATCCTTTCGAGTTCATGCAGTCTACGATTTTGTTGTGTGGGTAGAAATCTGTAAGAGAATGGAAAAGAGTTATTACAACGGAACAATGGAAACCAATCTAACATTTCAATCCATGCTCGAAATGAGTTACTCTATCCGTCCGGTAAAACTAGAACATTTGGGCTAAGCAAAGAGATTTAAAAAATGAATATTTAATTTTAAAAGTAAAAAGATAGTTGATGGTATTTTAAAAATTTAGTTAGTAATTAATGTGGATGAAAAGATTATATAGTAAAATCAGTGACATTTTTTTGTAAATAAAGTTGATGGGACGTAATATTTAAATGTTATATTTTTTTTTATTTTGCCAAATTTAGTTATAGAGTAAATTTAACAGACAGGCGAAAAAAAAAAAATGAAAATAAATTTAACGTGGACGAAGGTTTTTCATATCACTAAAATGCACTTACATGGATCCGGGGATGTAAACCGAGTTATGAACTTTGAAGAGAAGGCCGAATTTTTCTTCTTGGACTTCAAATATAGCTCTTCCTTCTTCGTAATTACTACCAAAGGCAGTGTGCGAAATCACATCACTTGTAAAAGCTTTAAGATAAGGCCACACATCCAATTCAAATGCCCCTTCATTCGGGATAATCTCATCCCATTTACTCAACAGGTTGGAGCAACAGAAGTGAAACGATGAAACCATGTACTGCAAAAATTAAAGTACGATGCACAAGTTAGGAACAATGAAATCTATCTATCTATCTATCTATCTATATATATATATATATATAGCCAGCCAATAAGATCGAACAATAATACCTTGAGTTTTTCGACATAGAAGGCTGGTACGACCAGCTTTCTATGCTTGGCCCATTTGTCTCCCTCCAACCATCCAGTACCTCTTGCCATACGTTGAGATAAAGGGCTCCTCGGAGGCTTTTGGTAGATGTAATTCTTGGACAAAATCTCTCGGATATGTTCAGGTTCCAAGACAACCACTGAGGGTGTTGATCCAAACCATAGGAAGGTATTCTTGCCTGTGCGTGCAGGGAGTTTTATTTCATTACATACACATCACATTTTAAATATATATACATATATATATATCACCAGAGGCGTAGCCAATGGGCCGAGGTTGTTCGGTCACTAACTATTTTTAATTATGGGTAAATGGTATTTTTAGTTTCACATTTAATTTTCTTTTATCATTTTAGAACGCTAAATGATTTTGTCTTAAAATAGTCTGCAAGTAAAAAAATTTCGTTCGAATAGTCATCCGGTGCCGAATTTGCAATCATGTCTCGCCGGTGATGACTTGACTGAAATGTATACGCTACATTGACGCTACACGTTAGCGGCACCTGAAATTTTATTTATTATTGTTGATGTAATTTTTCAACAAAAATAAAGTAAAATTCAAAGATATAGAAAATATCCTTAAACTTGATTAATTAGTGCCTGAGATTAGGAATCTCTAAACACTGTACGGTATATAAAATAAACTGGAAAATAAAAGACTGAAATTTAAAGTGGTGATCCCCAAATCTGACTTTGCTTTGTTGAAGTTGATTGAAGATGCCTCGCCAAACGATGATTCAAATCCTTAAATATTCCCTGGGAAACCGTACTGAAAACCGTCACCCGAACGGTTACAACGTCTCCTTCTCAACCGTCTTCCAACCTTTCTCATGCTGACACGTGTCCCCAGCAGACCAAAATTCCCTATATTTCGCTCCTTGAGCCGACCACAAACCATCCGCTCTTTTGGCCCGACTTCGTCCTTCGTCCGACCTACTTCTTCGCCCGACCCCACTTGGGCCGACCTCCATATCAACCGCCCCCTGTCTTTGATCAAAGGCCTCCGCGTTTGTCCAACTCCGCCTTCTATCCGATCTACAGTTTACCCGACCTGCGGATATCCTATCTCGACAACTTTTCCGTCTCGAAGACCTCCCGACTTGAAAACCTTCCGATTCATCGTCTTTCCGTCTTGCGGACCTCCCGACCTGAAGACCCTCCGACTTGAGGTCTCTCCGTCTTGCGGACCTCCCGACCGGAAGACCTTCCGACTTGAGGTCTTTCCGTCTTGCGGATCTCCCGACCTGAAGACCGTCCGACTTGAGGTCTTTCATCTTGAGGGCCTCCCGACCTGGAGACCTTCCGACTTGAGGTCTTTCCGTCTTGCGGACCTCCTGACCTGAAGACCTTCCGACTTGAGGTCTTTCCGTCTTGCGGACCTCCCGACCCGAAGACCTTCCGACTTGAGGTCTCTCCGTCTTGCGGACCTCCCGACCGGAGGACCTTCCGACTTGAGGTCTTTCCGTCTTGCGGATCTCCCGACCTGAGAACCTTCCGTCCTGAGGACCTACCGACCTAAAAACCTTCCGTCCTGAGATCTTTCCGTCCTGAGGACCTACCGACCTGAGGTCCTTCCGTCCTGAATTTTCCTTAGAAATAAAGAAATAAATTTATTTTCCTTGATTTCCTCACGGTGTCCTTCAGCCAGTTCAATCAACCCTATTGCCAGGCCCATTCCTCGTTTTACCTTAGGCTTTTAACCTAATTCTAAATTTCGTGCGTAACAACTTGCCCGCCGCCAAGGGACTTTCAAACGCCAATAAATGTTTGGAAGTTCATAAAGCACTACCTTCTTGAAAAACTCCCTTAGCAACTACACCAGTTACAGCAACACTCCTGGTTTACAGAAAACTTCCCACAAATACACGATGACTAAATGAACCTTTAAATAGGTTCGAACCCCATAAATGGGTTCTGAATAATATTTTGTTTCAGGCAGTTTTGTTATCTGAAAAGGCAGGATAATACCTCTTCAGATATTTAGCATTAATAAAATCATGTATTCTTCTCCCTTCATGATTTACAATAATGAAAGCGCCATTCCCAATATCTTTTTGAACAATGTAAGGTCCTTCCCAATTCGGTGACCACTTTCCCAATTGGTCAGTTTTCTTATATGTAGGAAGGATGGTCTTCCAGACTAAATCCCCTTTTTGGAATGTCCTGTGAAGAACTTTCTTTCCGTAACTTCTTGCTCTGATTTCACTCTGTTTCACACTTTGCCCTATTGCATGGAGTCGGTTAACGTCCAAATCTTCTAACTGTTGCATCATAAGTTGTTGGTATTCCTCTGTAAAACCACTATCAGTAAATTCTGTTCGGCCAGATGATACTCGGATTTCGGCTGGTAAAACAGCATCTTGGCCAAACGTGAGTTGGTAAGGTGAGAACCCTGTGGCCGTATTTCTGGTATTCCTATGTGCCCATAAAGCCTGAGACAATAACAAATGCCACTTTCTTGGGTTCCCTTCAACCATCTTCTTTATAATCCCAATAATAATCTTATTTGCTGCTTCCGCCTGTCCATTGGCTTGGGGATAATAAGGTGAAGAATGATGTAATCGAACACCGAATTCTGCCAAGAAACTAGAGAACTTTTCCCCTGTGAAAACCAGGCCTTGGTCGGTTGTTATAGACTGAGGAATACCATACCTGTAAATAATTTGATTCAAAACGAAGTCTATCACTTCTTTCTGATCCACATTTTTCAAAGCGATTGCCTCTACCCATTTGGTAAAGTAGTCAGTCGCAACCAATATGAAACAATGATGTTTTGATGAAGCAGGATGTATTTTCCCAATAATATCCATAGCCCATGATTTAAAAGGCCATGGTTTTGCCAAAAATTGCAATTCGGTTACTGGCAAATGATTTAAGTTTCCATGTCTCTGACATTCCTGGCAGCCTTTTGCAAATTGTATGCAATCCTCAAAAATCTTAGGCCAGAAAAAACCCAAGCGATGAATGGCCCATCTCATATTGAGACCTGCTCGATGAGCTCCACATATCCCACCATGTACTTCTGTCATTACCTCTAGAGCTTCTTTAGACCCCAAACATTTCAAAAGCAGACCTTCAAATGACCTCTTATACAAAATTCCATTTATTAATTGAAAACGTAAAGCTTTCAATCGCGTCGCAACTGAAACATTTGCACCAGGATTCTGTAAATATGTGATAAGCTCTGTTCTCCAATCGGGCACTGTTTCACTGGTATCTTTGTGTCCGACTGTAACTAAGCCGTCGGGCTCCTGCCCGATAGTAACTACGCAGTCGGGCTCCTGTCCATCAGTCTCATGCCCGACCATAACTTCGCAATCGGGCTCATGTGCGAATATCTCCTGCCCGACCGTAACTTCGCAGTCGAGCTCAGATCCGACAGTCTCCTGCCCGACCATTCGATCACATATTGGGTCTGTCTTTTCTTCTATGCCCGACTTGACCTCCGACCACACATCCCCTGGAATTCCTTTACAGGCCCTTTGAGCCAACTCATCAGCACGTTGGTTTTCTTTCCTTGGAATGAACTCAATTATTACTTCTGAAATTTTTGTCAATAACCGACCCACGATGTCCCTGTATTTGCGAAGATGAGGGTAATTGCAAACATATTGATTGTTTACCTGGTTGACCACTAATTGAGAATCCCCTCTTATAATTACAGACTGGACCTTCCTGGCAATTAAAGCCTCCAAACCCAAAATTAAAGCTTCATACTCTGCCGAATTATGGGTCATGGCTTCCAATCTTAGTTGTAAGTTAATCTTTTGACCGTCGGGTCCTTGCAAAAAGACTCCTGCCCCTGATTTGTTTCCAGAGGTAGAACCATCAAAGAACATCACCCATGTTCTGGTACTCATATAATGCACACATCCGACCTGTAGGGTATTCAAATATGATGGACAACCGAATGGTCGGACGCTATCACTATGAGAATACTCGACTTGGGAAAATTCTGCTAAGAAGTCGGCTACTGCTTGTCCCTTGACTGCCCTCAACGGGGAATGTTGAAGATCAAACGGAGCCAATTTGATGGCCCACTTCATGAGTCTGCCCTTCATAGTAGGTCTCTGTAAAATCAATTTGATGAGATCCACCTTTGAAATGACCTCAACTCTTCTGGGCAGCAAGTAATGCTCGAGTTTAGTACAAGCAAAGACTAATGAATAACACATCTTTTCTGGCATAGTGTAATTCAGTTCTGGTCCTGTAAGGGTTTTACTGAGATAGTAGATTGCCCTTTCCTTCCCGTCATCACCATCCTGCGCCAATAAACAACTAACCACTTCATATGTATTTGCCAAATAAAGTTTGAGTGGCCGACCTTGTTTAGGAGGCATCAAGACTGGAGGGTGAACCAATGCCTGCTTGATAGCATCTAAAGCCGTCTGTTGGTCGGGACCCCATTCAAAGGCGATTTTTCCAGCTTTCAACAATTTAGTAATGGGTCTGACCTTGCCAGCAGCATTAGAAATGAAACGCCTCAAATAATTCACCTTACCCAACAAACTTTGGATTTCTTTAACCGTCTTGGGTGGCCGACTATCAAGAATGGCTTTAGCCTTATTGGCATCAATTTCAATTCCTCTCTCATGAACTAAGAATCCTAAAAAGCTCCCGGCTGATATTCCAAAAGCACATTTGGTTGGATTCATCTTCAACTTGTACTTCTTCATTCTTTCAAATGCCTCTTCAAGATTCCTCAAATGTTCATCAAAACTGGAAGATTTAACAATAACATCATCAATATACACTTCCATAGATCTGCCAATTAAATCATGAAAGATTGAATTCATGGCTCTTTGGTAAGTTGCCCCTGCATTCTTTAACCCGAATGGCATGACTGTCCATTCATAAATACCTAAAGCCCCTGGGCATCTGAATGCTGTCTTAGGAATGTCTTCTTCTGCCAAGAATATTTGGTTATAACCTGCATAACCATCCATCAGACTAAGGATTTTATGCCCTGCTGCTGCATCTATCAGCATGTCGGCCATAGGCATCACATATTCGTCCTTAGGGGTAGCTAGGTTCAAATCCCTGAAGTCGATGCATATCCTTATCTTACCATTTTTCTTGACCACTGGCACAATATTAGCCAGCCACTCCGCATAACGGCAAGGTTGAATGAAACCCACTTTGAGAAGTTTTTGGATTTCTTCCTTGATTTGAGGCATCA